TATCTAGTTGGTGTTTGGGTTTGGATGTTTCTAAACAGAGAACAGATGAAATACAAATATTTAGATATATCTAAACAGAGAAGAGAGGAAATGGAAATGGGAATTTTTAGATGTTTCTGGATGAGAAATAGAGAAAATGGAAATGGGAATGTTTAGATTTTTCTGAATAAGAAATAGAGAAAGTGGAAATGGGAATTTTTAGATGTTTCTAGATAAGACATAGAGGAAATGGAAATAGAAATTGTTAGATGTTTTAAATAAGAAATAGAGAAAATGGAAATGGGAATTTTTAGATGTTTCTAAATAAGAAATACAGAAAATAGGTATATTTCAACTTAGATATTCCGTTACAGAAGAAGTAGAGAAAATAGAAATACCTAAGCTCAAATATTTCTCAATAGAATACAGAAAAACCAGAACTACCTCAATTTAAATATATCTAAAAAATACGAAAAGTAAACAGATCTAAATTCGCAAACAGTCTAATCCTACTCATCAAGTTCCAAATTCACGAGCAATATCTCCCAAGCAATCCGTACTGGGAACCTCCGCGAGACCATAGATCAAGAGACAGCTCGAGTTGCGGCGCATTAAGGAAGCCCCATTGAAAATGGATCGCTATGGAATGGAATAAACCGAATGGAGTGGAAACGGTGTTCCGAGTTGCGAGCGTATCGCGTGTTTTCGCGCGCGACCCGTGCGCCGACGGGTCGCGCGATTAATTATGATAAGCAAGTCCCCTGATTAATTGGCCGTGCCCGCGCGGTTCGACTCGAAGGAGAGAGTAATTACTTCCGCGCGCGGATTTCCGGCGATAATTCAACGGCTGGGCTGCCCGACGCAAACGACGCGTGAATACGAAGTTCCTTCGCGAGCCGACGCGAAAAATGAAAAAGGAAACGGACGAGCGGACAAAAGAACGATTACGGGCGGACCCGCGGAACGCGCGGAGCCGGACTGGAGCGGTGAATGCGGGTTAGGCGCAGCTTTTTCAAATCTTTTAGCGGATCCTCGAGGAAACTCGGCTTTCAGCTGCCCCGCTGATAAAATCCTCCGCTTCCCCCTGGTTGTTTTTGTTTCGAGTCGGGAAATCTGACACACGCTTCCTTATGGAACTCGGAGTTCCGTAAAAGCGCCGGCTCGCCGAGGAATGTTTCGCTAACTGCGTTTACGAACTGTTGACAAACGTCCGTTGAAACTTGAATCCTTTTCGAGATGTGTTTTTCAGAACCGTTTGTTAGTTGTTCCCTTTTGCGTTTGACGGTCGGACTGCTAAGAATTCTTTCAGTCGGAAGCAAAACTAACAGTTATGCGGAAAGTTATAAATGCATTATTCAGAATTAAAGGGACGAAAGTAGGATACTGGTATGAAGGCGTAACAGGAAATGGTAGAACCGCATGAATCGATGATAGATTCAAGCGAAATTATTTTCAGTTTAATCACTTCACACTGAAACTAATACGATACAATAGATCGTTTTCAGTTTCTTCATTCATTGTATCCAAGTGAGACTATTTTCAAAATCATTTCGAACGTTCAATGCTTCGAAGATACCGATAATTAATTAATTTCGGACTATTACTGTAATTCTGGTATTAATCATTACAAGTAACTAGAAACCAGAATCATTAACCCTTCGCACTCGGGAGGCGCCTTTCAGTCATCACCTGATTCGACGCAGCAAACTTATAAAATTTTCCATTCAATATTAAAGCATGTGTCACGTAACAACGCATAAAACATCGAAATAAAACAGTTCCGTTCCTTAATTATAAGATAAGCAATCGCGTTAGTTGCGAAAGATATCGTCAACATGTAGTCAGAAAGTAATGAGTATTTGTAATGAAAAATATTGTCGAGCTCAAAGGGTTAATATTCTTTCTAATTCCCGCGGAAACCACCTCGCTCGCAGTGGAACGAGTCGACGATAAATCCGACGAAACTGCGTGTCTCTTCGATTAGCTAACCCAGTGGACGCAAAAGTACGTGCTCAAAGCTAAGCGTAAATCTGTCATCTATCCGAATTACGCAAGCGACTGCACAACTCCTCCATACGCGGTCCTCCGACGAGCGAAGTGATGCGAATCGATGAGAGCCGCGACCCTCCCACGTCTCTTACCAAAAACACGATGCACTTTATCCGGTGCATTAATCCATCCGGCGACGCGCAACAGCGTAAAAATACAGCTTACGTATTTGGGTTACGGCACGGTGCGACGTAATACTTACGGAACCCAGCGGGGAAGTGTTTGCTGCGTCTGTCGGACGGAAAGGAAGCGCACCGACGCTTATGCATAAAATGCATTCTACCGTTGGATTAGATAACGGCCTGAGCGCGGAACAGTTTCCTTCGATGTGCACTAAGAGGCATTATAAACAGCGGATTTTTGTGCGTTTATGGGAGATTTGAAGTCTCTCTAATGCTTCTTTAGTGAATTTTATGTAATTTCTTCAGCGTCGGACTTTAATCTCTTTCAGTGTGAATTAGATCAATTACTAAATAATAGACTAGTGAAACGAGTATGCAGTTCTTTTCTTGTTCTCATAAATTATTAATAGTATATCTTCATCGAGTAAAAGGACTCATAGAACAAGGGATCAATTATGCTCTAACTTAACGAAACTTTCAACTTCATCGAATATATAATATATTATTCAACTCGATGAAAACCTTCACTAAACATTGTATAACAAGTAACTGTCGCAAACGACAGTTCACATACCTTCTATTCTTCAACCCTTTGCGATCATGTCGACACTTTCACGTTTGTAACACTAAGTTAACGATTGAGCTACTCAAACAGCAAGACATCAGCACATAGCTTCCTCATTCTCCATTATTCAAGCAATCGACGTGTAACCCGACAGAATCTACAAAAGGCTTTGTATACTTTACAAAGTATACTTTGTAATACTTACTTTACGCATACATACTTCGCACACGAATCTGTACTTCGACAGAATCTTCGTCCGCACAGCGTCAATACAGTCGTTTCATCGGAATTACATTGACAAACAACAACAGCTCCGCATTGCTGTTGTTCCCGACACAATGCAAGAGCGACGCGATCGCGTGCGCCAGCAGTGGAAGGGACAAATTCGGCGGGAGCGCCCTATCTTTACGTAAGGGCTTAAATCTAGCAGCGGATACCGGGATCCATTGTGCACCGCGTGTCCCCGGGAAAATTGCGACGGCCGCGCCATTAACCGATGCGCTCTCGCCGGGTAATTGCTCCTCCGTTCGACCTCCGCCCCCGCGAGCGGCCTTGTTTTACGCAGCTATTTGCCCAACGATTATGTCGCTTTTATGTCAATTCGTGGACGCCTTGCCCGCCGACCGACCGGCCGCGACCCCTAATTGTGATTTTATCGACGGATAGGCGGCCCGGATTTTCGCCGGAGTGCGTCGGGATTCGGGCGATGTTAATTACCGGCTAACGATGCAGTGACAACGGTACGACTGCTGGGAATTACGGTCGCTGATGTTAGGCTATTGTTACCTGGCTGAAAGCTACTCGATTCCTGGAGAAACAGATCTTCCCTTGGGAATTTCCTTCTAATCTCGCGGGATATTTGCTGGATTTGTTTATGTGGTCCGAGATGGTAATTGTGAAGAAGGTTACTAGGTGACTAGTAATTTTTTTTGGGTGGATCTTAAGATCGTAGTTGCGAGTAAAGATTGTTGGATGATTGCTAGATTTTTAGGTAGAGTTTTAAGATAATACAAGCAAAGATTATTAGATAATCACTAGATTTCTAAGCAGAGTATCAAGATAGTAATTACAAGCAAAGATTATTAGATAATTACTAGATTTATAAGTAGAGTTTCAAGATAATAAAAAAGCAAAGACTATTAGGTTAATACTAGATTTCTAAGTAGAATCTCAAGATACTAATTACAAGCAAAGATTATTAGATAATTACTAGATTTCTAAGTAGAGTCCCAAGATACTAATTACACTTCTATCATCTCTCAATACTCCAAAATCCAACCGACTAAATCCCAGCACCAACTACAAAACACCAAGAAAACGATTTCCCCGCGATCTAGATACAAATCGAAGGGAACTTTAGCATCGGCAACCAAATCTCCACCCCCGTAACAGCTGCCGAGCCTCTCTCGAACCACTAGAAGCCCGTGAAACCGGTCGTAGCCGCTAAACGCCGCTCAAGAATCACTGTTCCCCATGAAAATTTAATCGCCCCGTGAAAACGGTCAAAAGTAAAATCCCCCGAACGACGCGATATAACAAATTCCGCACACACGGCCCGGCAGTCACGCGTCGAGACCCCAAACCAACGTCCTTTAATCCCTCCGGCAGTAAAGCCCCGTTAACGACACATAAACGTCTCGCGGAGCCGTTAAGCCGGACAACCAGGTGTTTCTTCGGCGGCAGGTGTATTTACGCGGCCGCGGTTTTACGGTGTCGCGGCCGGCACTAATTTTTTAATGAACCCGAAATTACGAAGTTGACTAGGAAGCGGTAAATTGCCGGGGCGCGATAACGTTCGCCGGTGGACCGGCGCGCGTTCACGGGTACCGCCGCCTCGCGGGGACACGCCGGGGACCATAATTGAGATTTTATCGGTCCGTTAAACGCTGCGAACTTCCGGCGCAACACGTGCCAAAGTTTCCGGGCCGCGGCTAGCTGAAACGCGACCCGCCGCTTCTTTAACCCCTTAACACTAGAACTACCGGTCGAAATGACTGGTTTCGAGTTTTTTGTTTAGCAGTTACTGATATCTTCGAAGCTTTGAATATTCGAAATGATTTTGAAAATACATAGCTTCATTTGAGTACTATAAGGAATGTGCGGAGAAAGTGAAAATAATCTGTTGTTACAATTTTTATGGGAAATGCGTATTAATCGTATTAAATGCTCGGTAGTTCTAGTGTCAAAAACAAAACAATCGAAACCAGTCATTTTGACTGGTACAGTAGTTCTAGTGTTAATGAGAAGACGTGCGTAAATTTTGAAGATCTACTTGAATGTTTCAGATTAGAGAACTCAGCGCGATGACTGCCGGTGACCAGTGTTTTAAGCGACAACAAATCGGTGAGTTAACGAGATGAGTTAATAGTCTGCATTGTTTAACTTAGCTTTCGTCATTAGAAATTATGATGTACATATTGGGAAAATTTGTGTGGTTATACTTCTCTAATTGGAAATATTATTAGGTTCCTCATAGAAAAGGCACCTATCATTCAAACAATATTTTTCATTGCCAATTGAGACTCTAAATTAACTTCACTTCGAATTGAATTTGAAACTTCATTGTCAGCACCTGTCAACAAACTTTATTCTCATACATCTATCATTCGATAAATTCAAATATTCACCAATAAATCACCAGACGCACGTTTCCATCTATTTCACAGGAACACAATACCATAGAAAGAAACACAACACACTAATCAATTACTAATCGTGTCCAAGTTTATTCCAGTAACTTACGATAATACGATCCCGCGATCCGCAGGATTCCAGGTGTAAGCTCGGCGTTGGTTGCAGAAAGCGGATTATCAGACCGGAAACGATGCTCTTCCGGCCTAATAGTTCGATCCTAAAGGAGCAATATTATTCGAGCATCTTCGCAATCTTTAACCCGCACGGCGGAAGCGCAGCGGAAAAGATTAATTCCCGATAACGCAGCGCCGGAAATCGCGTCGATCCGCTGGCGGCGTCGGTGCTGGCGCAGGCAGCGGCCGTGTATCTTCGTCCGGAGCGCACGCATTAGCAAGTTTTTCGACGGTGCCGCGATAAATCATCGTCGAGATGAGAGGTCCGCTCGTGAAAAATTGCGCTCGGACGCACGGGGGCCGCGCTGATCAAGGAAACACCGAAAATATCTTTCGGAAATGAACGCTCGTGCCTGTCGGGGCACGCGTTCGACTCGACGGAAGGGCAATCTCCGTTCTAAACTGTCCTTCCCACGCTCCCTTTCTTGGATTTTTGTGAAATTTTAGAATACACGGTCTCTGTTTCACATTTCTTTCCTCGGATCTTCGTGGAATTTTCGAAGGTACGCTCGGTGTTCCGTTAAACTCTGTTCCATACCTTCGTCTTGGATTTCTGGTGAAATTTTTGAAGATACCTCTGGTTTTCTTGTTACAAAGATTCTTCCAAGATTTCGTGAATATGTATCTTGCTAGAAATGATATTTAGATGTATTTCGAAGTTCAGTGTCTGACTATAACCATCATATACTACTGAACTTCTGCTTATACTACGGTTTCAAAGTTATCACAGTTCTTTCTTGGCAATTGCACTCGGTGAAATAGGTTTAGGCGAGCTTAATCAGTATAACAGAAATTTATTCACGATTCTAAATGCAGTGTTATAAACTATCACGCAAGAATACTGTAATAATAAGCTCGCGAATAAAATGTGCACTTCATAAAAGTCCGAGAAGGAATCGAACAGCTTCCGCGCTCGAGAGCGCGCTTAACGACAGTTGAAACGAGCCGCTCGCTGTTCCGGCGGCACTCTATAACTAACTTTTAATTTCGGATTCCATCCCGCCGCTCGAAAATGCATCCGATTTATGCTACTTTAAGTTAGAAACACAATTCCCCGGCGGAACGTGGATCCAGCGCGGTGAAGAATGTTCATTACAATATAACTTCCTCGATTGCCGAAGTTTTAAGAATAAACCATCAAATTGACGCTATACACCCGCCCGTGCATTCATTCATTCTACGCTCATCTCCGCCATTTGCATTCCCAGTGTCCGTTCGGGAGCAATCTTAACGCGAAAGCTTCAAACTTTCCGTCCAACGGAGTCAGAGACGCAACGGCGCAAGAATAAGAATAAGAAATGCAACGTTCCACCATGGAATTCGAGGGTCACTGGAAAATTCTCCGTATTAAAATCCGTATGCAGATAAAATCGCGACGTCCCGCAATCTAATTCGTAAATCAGAATACATTCTTGGCTTCGCGAGTCCCGAACACGTTCGGTATCAAATAAAAGGTTCACGTATCCTTCGTTTCATTTAAATGGCAAATTCCTTGGTATTCCTTCGGGATCCGAATGAAATTATCAAGCGGTCGCGAACCGTATATAGAACTCTCGGTCGGGTCTCGTATTTTCGCGTGGTAGCTTCTGTTCTCGTGGAATCGTAACAGCTTCTACTAAGAGTCGCCGCCGCGAACGAGCCAAGTGAAACGTTTAAACGCTTAAATATTCTCCACGTCATTCGCACGAGCTCCAACTTTTCCAGCAGCCGCGGAACGAGAAGTAAATTATCAGGCACTCGACGCGGCCGAATATAGAGTCCCTTCGTAGCCGTAGAATTCTCATACGCGGACCTATATTCGCCTCGTAGAAACGCGGGTCGTAACGGTTTCTATGAAAAGTCCCTCCGCCGGCGTCAAAGCGGAACGCTTAAATATTCTTCACGTCGCTCGCAGGAATCCCGACTCTTCTGGCGGCCGAAAAATGCAAAGTAAATTATTAACCGGTCCGCGGGGATGTACGGGGTGCCTTGGCTTTTCCCGGGAAACGTTGTTAATGGGTTTTACTGATTGAAGTGAGAGAATGCGGAATGGGGATATTTGTGTTTAATTTGTTTTGTTCGGAATGCTGTTGCTGTTGTGGAGGTAGATTATAATATTGTTGTATAGTGTTGGTTACGGTAGGAAAATGAATAGATGGGTGATATTCAGATCTGAACTGTTTATTCCGAAATAGAATTACAGTAGCATTACAATATTATTGTCACCGCGCGTCATTCATCAGATTAAGAAAGCATAAAGCAGTAACCCAAATTCATCACACGATCGCTTCACTATAATTTCTTACAACTTTTAGCACTCTCAATAACATAATTCCTATAATCTATTTTCCTCATACCAATCCACATAATATTCTAATATTTAACCTTTAACAATACAAATCTAAAAACCACCGAATGTTCAACATTCTCGTCTACAGAAACTAATGAAAGAATTTCCTGTATTACTCTTATTCAGATATCTCCACACAGCATAGTATCATCTATACAACGAAAATTTCACTGACTTCGAAGTCCACGATATTCTACACACAAGTCTGAAAATCACCGAATGTTCAACATTCTCGTCTGCAGGTAACAAAAGAATTTCTTGTACTATTACTCAGATATCTCCACATACATAGTACCAACTACACAACGAAAATTTCACTGACTTCGAAGTCCACGATATTCCACACACAAATCTACAAAACCGCGTCCATGTTTAGGGGTTAACGAGGAAAAGCCCGAGACGCCACACAGCAACCCCCAACGAATTCTTCACACGCAGCTCGCGTTCTTTCAACAAAGGGCTCCGACGGGTTGAAAGAGCGCGCGCCGGTCGAATGCTCGGCACGCGTCTCATTGTAATTCGCGTATAGGCGATTCCCGGTTCGCGTTTGCCCCGATTAAACGCGTTTTTTTCCGGCGGGAGGATCCCCGCGCCCGTCGGGACGCGCGCGAAATATCAAGCGTGGAACAAGAAAAGCCACTTGGAAGACAGAGCCGCCATCAGGCGAGCCGTGTCTCCGCGGAGCGTGCTTCTAACGCGCCAGTCGACGTTAATGCACGCGCGTTTCTCAGCCACCGTGAAATACACTCGGGAAATACGGCGAACGCCGCGGCTGTTTTCCTAAATTCGCCGCTACGCTGACGCCGCGAAGTAACTTTCCACTTTTCGCTGCGCTGCTCGCGGCGCGCCGCGTATTAGATTTCTGCTTCGGCGATGGGCTCCTCGGCGAACGTGATTAGAGCGGCTGCATGCGTCCGGATTTTAAAACAGAAGCTACAACGAAGTTTCGAGCGGCAAGCTTTGAATACCTTCGCGCTGACCTGTGAGAAGTTTGTGCTGATGTAATTGGCTCGCTGAGCTTGAGGTTTTTTGGAAGCGTGGGCAGTCTTTATTAGAAATTAAATTGGTTGCTGGATTTTTGAGTAGTGGATAATGGGACTTTTTTGATGTAATCATTTTTCTTGTGGTTCATTTTCAATGCCTGATTTTGACCCTTGGGCTAAGCAGAATTTTGGGAACTTTTCAGAGTCGAAGCACTGAAGTGTAATGCATTAAATGAATATATATATCAATGATTAATTACCTTTCACCGTCTATATGCGACAACAGTACACCGAAACCGAATGTTCCAAGCATCTTTAAGCACTATGGTAGCCCAAGAGTTTTCGACATTGCAAATGGCTAGCTAAATATTAATATCATATTAATCTATGGTACTTAATATTTAACATTAACATAGTTAAAAGGCGCTTTATTTTTCAACAAATATTCGCTCGGCCTTGCAAAGCTTGACCCTGGGGTGGATATGCAATAGCGCCTTTATGGCGAAGGCTATATTAGGTATAATACACTAGATATAATTATCATATAAATTATCAAATATCATATTAATCTATGGTACTTAACATGTAACATTAACATAGATAATACTATATTCCTTCCTACACACGAATAAAGTACCATTCCAAAGCTAAAGCGAAGAAGCTGCCAGCTCCACTGGACACAGGAAAATATCAAGGAATCAGCTATCGGAATGCTCAGCCGCGTGGTTGACAAGCACGAGCGGCGTAAATATTGAAACACGAAAATATCCGAGTCCCCTATTCCGCGCTCGCGCGCGCGGAAATGTATAAATATTTGAGAACCGGGAAGATTGCGAGGGCCATTCCGGGATCTACCGGTAATTCCTCGAATGATCCGATCCCGGGCGTTCGAGAATCTATTCCGAAGTTGATCCGCGAGTTTCAATATTCCTTATCCCTCAAACATTACACTTTATATCCCACCTTCTGGAACTTTTAAAAGGGTTCTCCGAGGCAACGGGCCGCGCGCCTCGTCCCGCGGACCGCTTACTTCCCTTATTGATAAACTCCGGGGAAAGTCCGGGCAGAAGTTTCCGTCACGGATGTCATATCCGCGCCGCACAATCGCGATCGGCTTTCGAGCACCGGCGGAACTCCTCTTTCGCTCGTTTTTCTCGCCGCCGCGAAATAATACTTCTGAATCATCCCCCGGCGAGGTCAAACGCGACCAATGGAGGAACGGAT